GGGAGTAGGGAGGGGGGATTCGGTATCGGTATTACCGATTTACCGTCAGTATTTACCGATACCGTGTCCGGTAAACCGACTCCCCCAACTTCCCGCTCGACTGCCGATACCGTGTCCGTTTACCGGATTACCGTTTACCACCCCTAACTGTACTCTTAGTTTTATAATGTGGATTATTTTGTTATTTAAGATATTGAGTTTAGTTATTGTTTATAATTATAATTATTAATTGTGTAATTCTTGTATAGGAAGCAACCCATTCTCGGCCTCTTCTTTCATATGGAGTGCGGATCTTGTGACTAGGGGGGTCCTTAGTCACTTAACTAAGCCCCAGCCTTTGGATTGATCTAATGGTCCAGATAAAGTGTTGAATTATTACTAAATGAAAATGGTAGTTTTGGCATTATCATAAATTCATTAATTCCTAATTTCAGTTTTGTTTTATTTTGTTTTTTTCTCCTTCCTCTCCAACCGTCTCCTTCTTTCCCGTTCACACAGAGAGAGAGAGAGAGATGCGTGATGTCAACGGCGACGGTGAGAGAAGGGCAGACAGCGACGATGGAGAGAGAAAGAAGACCTCGACGGAGTTGATGGAGAGAGGAAAAGGCGTCGCGACGGAGGCGGCATCATTGGAGAGAGAGAAAGTAGATCTAGAGAGAGTCGATGGAGAGAGAGGCGGTGGCGGAGAGAGAGAGGCAGTGGCAGAGAGCTTTGACGGCGATGGAGGAGAGAGAAGCGGCACGGTGATGGAGATAGAGAGGTAACGACGGCTGTAGAGAGAGTCGGCGGCGACGGTGGAGAGACATCGTATACGTCGTCTGAAGGAAGAACAGTGATTTGTAATGCAAGTGTTGTCAGTTTGTATTGTTAGTATTTTTATACGTAATGTCAGTAAGATTTGTATAGTTTGTATGTTTTGTAATATTAATTTGTATACTTTATATGTATTGATTTGTGATGCAAATCACGTCGCTTTGTATTGTAAGAACTAATAATTTGTATACTTTATATGTATTGATTTGTGATGCAAAAAACATTACAAACATGGTTGACAAAAATGACAAACATGGTGGACAAAAATAACAAAACTTACAAACAATACAAAAGAAACCAACAAACATTACAAAAGAAACCGACAAACAGTATGAAGCATACTACACGTACAAAATATCACTACTTACAATACAGATTGGTAAACTTGTATTACAAACAAATGAATACAAAGTATACAAATCATAACATAAAAGTATACAAACTTGAATAACAAAAATTACAAATTATAATATATACATAGTCATATAAACATTACAAATGTAATAGAGAAAAATGACAAACAAGAATAATAAACAATACAAACCGAATTGATATAAAGATTACAAAACAGACTTATAAACATTACAAAATAGGTCGACATTACAAATCCAGCAATGTCGCCGGAAAATCATCGGTTGTCATCTCCGATCGTCGTTGCCGGAAATCTCTCTCTCACTCTCCTGAACTTCATAGGGGGGATTCCACTCTCTCTGGGAAAATAATTTCCCATGTCACCTCCCTCTCTCTTTTCTATGGTCGTGGGGAAAGAAGATGAGAAGCCGGAAAAAAAAAAAAAAATTGGTCGGCCGGAGGTGCGGGAGGAACGACGATCGGCGGGACGGAAGGGAGGTGGGAGGGACGGACGGAAGTGACATGTTATTTTAATTGTTAAATAAATAAAATGTATAATTACAACCTTGTCCTTCATTAAACTAGATAAAATAGAACCATTAGATTTTAATGAGTCGGGATAGCTGAGATTGGTTTAGTCATATGACTAAGGGGACCCTTTAGTCACCTGATCTTATCCCTTTCATATGTGGTGGATGGTTGTGAGTTTTTTTTTTTCTGTTTTGGCTATGCTTGTAAGGGGGCTGGGTTAATTGTGGATAGGTTGTATTGGGCCAGTGTTTCGTTGGGCTTTGGGTTGGCTTTGTGGGTTTTCTTCAGTTGCTTTTCCCTCTCTTTTCAGTGGACTTGGTTTGTTCCATTGTGTTTGAACTATTCTTTGTCTCTTGTATTTATCTCCCATAATTCCTAGATTTTTGTCCAAACTCTATAACACATTCCTATTTTGTGATGAATTTAGGTTTCGTAAAAATAAACTCTTAAATGTGTGTAGTTCTCATTGTAGTGTTGGTTTTAGGACCTTTTTAGCCTTTTCGAAACGTATGCACTTCACAATCTAAACGTGTATTTCATAAACCATTTCTAAGTGTTGGGAGCATCATAGCAATAAGTATATGAAAGCATTGAACCGTTAGGAGATTGTGCTGCAAGCTTTTTTTTATGTATGGAGATGAATGAACTTATGAAGTGTGTGTACAGCAGAGCCATGGGCACAAAAGTTTAGACCAAGATATTTATGAAGAAGGAAATGTGTTGTTTATGTTCGTTAGAAAAGAAACAACAAACCCTAATAATAGAAGAAAAATTAAATTCCTTTAGATGTACGTGCAGTGGCGGATCCAGATAGGGCTGGGAAAATAGACCAGACCGTTTGAAAAACCGTGGTTCAAACCGTACCGTACAGTTTGGTCCGGACCGTAGACCGTTAAGTATGGTCTGGTCTGGTCCATGATATGTATAATTTTATATTTTGATCTCTTGGTCTGGTCTGGTCTAGACCGCGGTTTACCGGACCAAACCGTGGACCCAACTGACTTGTCAATACGTGTTAACAGCCCATTCGACCACTCTCCCAACTCCCACAACGACACCCAAGTCTCAACCTTAGTTTTGTGAATCTCGTTCCTCCTTCATTCACAACCACATTTAACCAGAGAGTAGAGATAATTGTGTCTCCATATGACATTATGTTAATGTTTATGACGTTATGATGCAAGTTGGGATACTTTTACTTTGTATATTTGTTATGTACTAAGATTTAGGGTATCAAAATTATTCATGCATGTTAGGATTAATGTGTTAAGGCAAATAACAATTATTTTTCTTGGTTATTGGTTCAATTTTTTGTGTGGTTGACTAAACAAATTATTCATTTTTCATTGAGTGTGGTCTATCTGGACCAGACCATACCGAACCAGACCGCACAGGCGTGGTCTGGACCAGACCGCACAGGCGTGGTCTGGACCAGACCGTATAGTTTGTGGTCTGGCCTGTGGTCTGGCCTGTGGTCTATACTTCAGCCTTTCGGTCTGGACCATAGACCGTATATATGGTCTGGTTTGGACCAGACCGCACCATTTCTAATCCCTAGATCCAGGGTTGGGCCAACCCAGGCCCCGACCCAGCCCTCCTCCGGATCCAGGGTTAGTTTAGTGCTTATAAAATTTTTTGATTTAGGTATTTGGTCCAGTGCTATTTAAAATTCTGTCTAGTTTTATTTGATAATAGGATTTTGTGTAACTAGGAAAATGGTTCAGATGAACACATCCAAACCATTACTCTAAATTTATACTAAATTTTCTATAGCCCCAATGATTTTATTTGAAAAATAACATGAAAACCTAAAAGTGTAAAGTTTCATTAAGAAAATCTCTAAACTAAAGCACACCCTTCATTTCAAAATTCAAAAAATTTCCCAATCCCCCCAAAACAAAACAAGAACGAGGAGACGAGCAGACCCAAAATGGATTTCTCTGCCAGCCCGTCGAGCTGGTTTTCTTTCCATTCTTTTGATTAAGAAAATATTTACAAACTTGTTGAGTCATCATTTAGATTGCCTCAATTGAGTGGGGCACTAGATTCTAACCGTTCTTTCTGGTATTTTGATGAAGAAAATATTTACAAACTTGCTCAAGAGTTTAGCCTCGAGACTTTGAAGGCTATGAGATTCATTCTTTGGAGAATGCACTACTCATGTGAGGAAGATGAAGTTTCTTCTCTTGCGAAATTATTAGAGAAGCTGGGGGGAAATAGGGATGGACACATAATACAAATTGATTTGTCGGTTGATTTGTCTAGTGTTGATCTAGCCGTTTCAACAACTACCATGAAGAGAATATTTTCAGCAATGGATCATGAACATTGATTTGTGCAACAAAATGAGCGATGAATTTCTCGTTGATTACTTAGCTATTTTCTTTGAAAAAGAGGATATTATCAGTATGGATGAAGATTATATTATTGATGAATTTGCTAAATTAAAAGACATTCTTGTACAATTGGCGTTGTAATGAAAACTATATTATTATATATTTTTGTTTATGGTATCTGATATTCCATTCAAATACGGTCCAGTGCTCTCTTATGTCATGGATCCGCCGCTGTGTACGTGTAGTAGTGTAATATTTCAGGAAAATTCCAAATCGATAAAGTATGAAAGAAATTCATGGTTCATAAGAAAAAAAATATCAGCATTAACCGATAAGACACATTTTGAGGTGAAAAGGAAAAGTTATTGTAAGAATCCAAATAAGAAGTCATCTTGATTTATATTCCAAAGCGAAACCCGTGAGAATTTAGATCCAAAGCGGACAATATAATATCTAAAAAAGTTTGGAGTGTTAAATGCGATCCCGGATAGAAAAAGAAATTAAAAACAATATTGAGAGGAAAAAAGACAGACTATAAGGGGTCGTTTGGAAGTTGCGTATCTTAAATCGTTGTATTGTTATGAATCACTATGATATAAATGCATGCATTTATACAATAGATGCATTTTGAAATTACATTGTTTGGTTGTTGAGATTATAATTTATGAATTGACTGTTATAAAGTTACTTTATAATGAAATGTCATATTTGTCCTCCACTTTTAATATAAAACAAAAAGAATTATGGACATAATTGGAAAAAGTAAATGTGCTCAATTATTAAACCAACAATCACAACAATCTCAACTTTTAGTACAATCCATCATTTTTGTTGATTGTTGGTGGGACCCACACAAAACAATACATGCATTGTTTTGCAACTTGACACTTCCAAACGTTGTATTGTGGACAATGCATGTATTTAACAAATACAATGCTAACAATCGCAACTTCCAAACGACCCCTAACGTGTTAAAAACAAAGCCACACACCTTTCACACAAAGTGGTGTGTTTTTTTAATACACTGTTGTTTGTCATACAAGCAAGTTACGGTACTCTTTCCTCTGGCAACTCAAATTATACAAGGGGGATCCCCTCCCAGTGTAAGAGATAACAACACCTCGCGCTAGTTACACTGCAGAGAAGCAGTTCGTTTTACAGTACACGAATTGTTTTGAGCAATTTGATACTCGAGTTGGTGCTTCTTGACACATTGCTGCTTACCTGCCGCGTTTTGCAGCTGAATACTTCTCAGAACTTCAAAATTTTAACTAGAACACTTCCCTTTAGTTATTTCAGAGTGAGTCTCCATGAGCCGCATCTGGTACGAAGTGGCAAATCTAATCAGTGTAAACAACTTTCATCAGCAGCCGAATTTAGATGAATTGACTGGTTCACGACTCAAAAGCACAGGGAAACTTTTACATAGTAAGCTGTTAAGCCACTTCTGAAAGTAAAAAGAGCTTTGGTAGAAGAGCGTACATCAGTACAGAACCGTGAGCTAGGAGCTGTGCTTTGGTAGAATTAGGAAGGAATTAGGAAGGAATTTCTTTATCTCCTTTTACTTTCAAATCAGAACTTGCAGATTCATCATTTTAGTTCACTGAACGAAAGATAAGTGGAGCTTTTAAACGTGTTTACTTTTCTTAACATTACTCTGTTCTTTTCCTTATCCAATTCATGCGATGTCTTTCCCATGAGCAATACACTCAAATAGAGAGGAAAACCATAAAACATAACTGGAAACAAGTGAAGGAAAGAATATCAACAGATTGAGGCAAGGCTTGTTTGTGCAAAGTTGGCTAAGTACTCCACTTACCAGATACTTAAAAGGTTGCAAGAGGCGAGCCAGCATTCTTGAAGTAAGATGAGAGATCTATATGAAGGTCCTTGTACAAGTTCATAAATGGATGTGACTGACATTGCATAGCAAAGAAAAGAGACACACAGATGTCAAATTTTCTCTGAGTTTACTCAAACCATATGAACCAATAACAAGAGACAAGGCCAGAGGAGATTTCTTGTACCATAAGTTCAAGTGCTGACAGTCTATATTTTGGGTCTTTTTGAACACTGAAAAATATGCAGCAGGCAAGAATGGTAAGCATAATAGAGCTTAAACAAGTAGAAATTAGTGCCGCCGAAAAGCAGATACAAGGAAACCATAGCAAGAGTAAATATTATTCGAGTAATAAAGCTCAGGAAGAGGATTAAGAAGTTTACGTAAATGAATCAGAAATAGTAATATTGTGAAAATGGCTTATTAAAGCCAAGCAGGTTAGCATTACCATGCAGATATAAATTAGCCAAATTCTGGAGAAAACTGATCAGAAGGCAGATGAGGTGGTGGTTGCTCAACGATTGCTTCCATAAGCTCATAAACATTAACCCAGCCTTCCTCTTGCTCTGGGGGTGCATATGGAAATTGACCTGTTGCACATTCCATCAACACTAACCCCAAGCTCCAAATATCACTTTTGTAGTCATATTTTCCTCCACTAATTCTCTCAGGCTGCAACAGGAAGATGCTTATTAGCAATTTACAAGCTGCTGGCCATTGGCCATTGTAGCAAGAACAACTAGAATGACTATCACAAGAAAAATTTGGCCAAAAGTGATTTACTTACAGACATATAGTTGTAAGTGCCAACAAAAGTATTTGCCTGTCCTGATGTGCTTTGCATTATTGCACTCACACCAAAGTCAGTGATCTTGACTTCTCCTCTATGATTTATTAACAAATTGGAAGGCTTCATGTCTCTGTGGATAACATGTTTCTCATGATGAAGATACAACAAACCCTTCAGTACCTGAGTTGACAGGGACAGATCTGGAATAAGAAAATTGATAGCGCTAAAAGTATTGAAACCATAGACAACTAGAATTTGAAAGCCATCGAACCTGCTTAGTGATAGCAGCAAGGTATGGTTCAGGAATTGTTCTAACTTTTCTCAGAAAATCTGCTAGGGAACCACCATCCATGTATTCCAAGATAATGGAAACAGCACCGTTATCATAGAAAGATTGATAGCACAAAACGACGTGGGGGCATTGTGCTGATTGATTAATTTTAAGTTCCTTAGCAATTGCCTTACGTGCAGACTCCTCGATATTCATTTGTATAACCTACACATAAGCAGGGACATCAATAGTTAGCTGGAGGGGTAATAAATGGAAACATTTTGGCAAGCACATATAATGAAAAATCAGTCATTTACAAGGTCAAGAGTCATTTATTCACTCCATCTTATTTAAGAAAGAAAAAAAAAACTAACTACTCCTGATAATGACTTAGTACAAGGTCCTTGAGTCGGGAGCAATTCAACCACCTTGAGAATTAGTAGACATTCGTAGAAAGAAGATCGCTACTCTCTGTACCATCGTCCGCATCACAAATACATATTTTTGTTCAATGCACTACAGGTAGAGGTCAAACGAAATGACAGATGAAAACTTTTATAAAGTTCTACAACAATTAGTAAAGCAAAAAGGGGAGCGATTTGCAACTTGTGCTATCAATTAAGTTCAAATTTCAACTGATTTAAAAGCAACTGATTTAAAAGCCAGAAAGCAAATATCAACAAGAGCCTAGTTCTTGATTGCTAGCTAGATAATCAGCTGAAGTAGCAATTAAAAAGGCTGAAAGAAGCTTTCCGCAACTTAATGTTGCCAGTAAGTTAAGTTCATAATTAATTTGAAACCACTGTTAACTTACACTTCCCGTTCCACTGCCAGAAGTAAGCTGAAAATAGAAAGGCTGCTATGCAAACAATCAATAGGGAGATACGAACCAACCTTTAATGCGAAGAACTGGCACGTCCATTTGTGCTGCACCAACTGAACAATGCCGCCATTCCCCTTTCCGATGACCTTGATGGTGTCTATATCAGCTAGGCTCATCTGGTTGTCGGCGGGCTGAATTGGCGGCGGCTGATGAAAAATCCAGTAAAGAAGCAAACAATTAGACAAACAGTACCGCCGAGACTTTCAACCACTGAATCGGACACCATTTCCACAAAGCAGAAACATATAAGGAAAGATATCAATCGTGCGTACAGCGTCGGGCTCGGATTGAGAGACGATTCGAACCCCGTCGCGATTGACGAGCAGATCACCGTCCATGAATGTGCCACTCTGTGTTCTGGAAGCAAATCCATCAGCAGAATAAGATCGAGATTCTCCAAGTTCAGAACAGAAATCAAGCAAGCAGAAACCGACGGTTATTTGCCTCGTCGGTGTTCGGTGGAATAAAGCTGGTTTTCGGCTAGCCGAATAACCGAGTATAATTAACCGTGATTACCCGACTAACCGAACATAACCGACCAGTCATCCTTTTAATAAAACCCCAACCCTAATTATTTCTTCTTCGTACTCAAATCCTAGCCCTCCGCCATCCAAATCCCAGCCCAGCCGCCATCCAAATCCAGCCCAGCTCTGCCATTACCTTCGCCCTCCGCCATCCAAACCCCAGCCACCCTCCCCGATGACTCTGTCTCCCCTCCCCGCCTTCCTCGAAGACCAGGCACCGCGAGCCAGAGCCAAAGTCAGAGATAGCATCGTTTCTCCTCGCCGATTCCTCCCCGACATCGCCATCTCCCATCCCCGACGACCCCAGGCCTCCGCGCGTCTCCCATCGCCATCCTTCCCTTTCCATTTTCGCCTCTCCTACGCCGGGGATGTCTCCCTTCGCTCTCCTCCGTGGCCGCCGGTGTGCCGGCGCCTCTGCTTCTCCTCCACGACCGGCCGCCGTGGTGTCTAAATCTGCAATGAAGGAAGGAAGGAGAGAGAAGGAAGGAATGGTCGGGTGTTGTGGCTTGTGGGTTTGAAATGGAGGAAGGAGAGAGAAGGAAGAAAAGGCTGGTCTCTGGTGGTTCTTTTTGGAGGAAGGAAGGAGAGAGAATGGGAGAGAAGGAGGAAAAAGATAAGAATTTAGTGGTAGAGATTTTCGTTTGTTTATTTTAATAATTTTTAATGATTTTTTTTTAGAGAAGGGAGTGTTTTCGGGTAGGCGGCTAACCGAACCAAAACTGATAACCGACCGGTCGGTGGTCGGCTAGCCGTGGTGTCACTCACGGTCGGTGCTCGGCAATGGGAGATGGTTGCTCAGTTTAACCGATAACCAAAAAATCGATTTTCGGTTAAACCGAAACCGACCGACTGCCACCCCTGCGAGCGTGTGACACTCTCTCTCTGTCCAGCTTGTCTGGCAGAAGGAAAAGTGGGTGATTAGGGGTTTGCCACTATTTTGTATATATATGGGTCAATAGTGAAAGTTGGCACGGGCCCACCAAAGTGCTTCATTTGTGGAACCAGCTTTGTGTTGCCAAACAATTGTTGGCGGTTCTGCATGCACCTGGCAATAGGAATGGCTGCTCTGTTTATGCTATCAGCAAGGATGATCTATCCTCCGACTTCTTTGGTTTTGGCGCGTGTTGTGTACCTGCTTGTATCCTTTATTGCATTTTTTAAGATACTGACAGTGCTGCCCATTTAGTGGCTAAAAGGCTTCTTTTATCGACAGATTGATTAGATATCAACCGCCACATTTAATTATTTCATTCTCTTCATATTTATAAGTATATTGTACACCTACCTAACCTACCTATGTCTTTGTACACCTATGCTAAAATAAAAATACATAAATTATTTAAATAAACATAACGATGTCTAAATTCTCATCAAACATGTTTTTTCCTAGATTCTATAAAATCCCTAATTAAGGAAATTGCAAACAAATACTCGACTTCGGAAGGTCTTATTAGAGCGCGAGAGTGATTCGAGAACCGTAGAAATAGCAGCCAGCCAGCAACACCAATAGAGACTTAGGTCACACAGTTCGTGGGGGAGAGGCCGGCGCTCCCGCTTTGGAGCGGGAAAACGCGAATTGGAAGGGACTCGCGGAAAATTCACGAATTATTTTCTATAGGAGCGCGAATTTTGTTGGGTGATTCGCGAATTTATTTTCATAGAGACGGGTTATAGAGAAATCGTAGATGGTGTCCGGTTGGATTGATGGATGAAGCCGAAAAGAAAGGGAATTTGTTGATTGGGGAAATTTTGAACGATATTTTGTTGGCGATTACCAACATCGAGTCCGAGTCAGAGTTCCAATACAAGCTAACTTCTGGGAAAATCAGTCATGCTTATCTGTGTTTTGAAGACTGGAAGGCTATAGGAAGAAGCTGTGGGATTTGTCAATGAGGTGGGAGTTAGGTCACACAGTTCGTGGGGGAGAGGCCGGCGCTCCCGCTTTGGAGCGGGAAAACGCGAATTGGAAGGGACTCGCGGAAAATTCACGAATTATTTTCTATAGGAGCGCGAATTTTGTTGGGTGATTCGCGAATTTATTTTCATAGAGACGGGTTATAGAGAAATCGTAGATGGTGTCCGGTTGGATTGATGGATGAAGCCGAAAAGAAAGGGAATTTGTTGATTGGGGAAATTTTGAACGATATTTTGTTGGCGATTACCAACATCGAGTCCGAGTCAGAGTTCCAATACAAGCTAACTTCTGGGAAAATCAGTCATGCTTATCTGTGTTTTGAAGACTGGAAGGCTATAGGAAGAAGCTGTGGGATTTGTCAATGAGGTGGGAGGTTGTGAAGAAAATTAGAAGAGGCAGGCGACTGGGAAGAAGCCGGAGGAGAGTAGGCGAGCGGTTACATGCAAAGCTAAGAGCATCATATATGAAGGACTCGGCAACAGATCTGGGCAAGCATCGATTGGGAAAGAGCAAGGCCGGAGGAAGAGACTCGATTGTCTGGCCTTTGATGGAGAAATTGAAGGACGGCCGCTGAGGAGGAATGGCGGCAGGTTGAAGCTTATGATTCGACCGGATGTTTTGCTGTGAGAAGGGAAATGAGGAGAGAGAAAGGTCTCCGCAAGATTAATTATGTGGCAGTCGCACTATCTTTGGGCTTAATTACTTGAGCAGTGGGCTTGTAAATTCTCGGTCCATACATCCAATTTGTCCCAATCAGAAGCATCACGGGCTAAAAAAGTGACCTCCTTCTCGAGATACACACGCAATAACCTTGCCAAATCCTTGATATTGTCATTGTTTATACATTTTTATCATAAGAAAGTAATATATTTTATTCAGATATATTAGAAAATAATTAATAATAATATAATATTAACGCTCTGTTCACGCTCTCAATATCGAGTTCTTTTGAAATTAACGCTCTGACGCTCTCGCTCCCGCTCACGCTCCCGCTCTCGCTCCACGTTCTGGTTACCTAAGGTGGGAGGTTGTGAAGAAAATTAGAAGAGGCAGGCGACTGGGAAGAAGCCGGAGGAGAGTAGGCGAGCGGTTACATGCAAAGCTAAGAGCATCATATATGAAGGACTCGGCAACAGATCTGGGCAAGCATCGATTGGGAAAGAGCAAGGCCGGAGGAAGAGACTCGATTGTCTGGCCTTTGATGGAGAAATTGAAGGACGGCCGCTGAGGAGGAATGGCGGCAGGTTGAAGCTTATGATTCGACCGGATGTTTTGCTGTGAGAAGGGAAATGAGGAGAGAGAAAGGTCTCCGCAAGATTAATTATGTGGCAGTCGCACTATCTTTGGGCTTAATTACTTGAGCAGTGGGCTTGTAAATTCTCGGTCCATACATCCAATTTGTCCCAATCAGAAGCATCACGGGCTAAAAAAGTGACCTCCTTCTCGAGATACACACGCAATAACCTTGCCAAATCCTTGATATTGTCATTGTTTATACATTTTTATCATAAGAAAGTAATATATTTTATTCAGATATATTAGAAAATAATTAATAATAATATAATATTAACGCTCTGTTCACGCTCTCAATATCGAGTTCTTTTGAAATTAACGCTCTGACGCTCTCGCTCCCGCTCACGCTCCCGCTCTCGCTCCACGTTCTGGTTACCTAAGGTGGGAGGTTGTGAAGAAAATTAGAAGAGGCAGGCGACTGGGAAGAAGCCGGAGGAGAGTAGGCGAGCGGTTACATGCAAAGCTAAGAGCATCATATATGAAGGACTCGACAACAGATCTGGGCAAGCATCGATTGGGAAAGAGCAAGGCCGGAGGAAGAGACTCGATTGTCTGGCCTTTGATGGAGAAATTGAAGGACGGCCGCTGAGGAGGAATGGCGGCAGGTTGAAGCTTATGATTCGACCGGATGTTTTGCTGTGAGAAGGGAAATGAGGAGAGAGAAAGGTCTCCGCAAGATTAATTATGTGGCAGTCGCACTATCTTTGGGCTTAATTACTTGAGCAGTGGGCTTGTAAATTCTCGGTCCATACATCCAATTTGTCCCAATCAGAAGCATCACGGGCTAAAAAAGTGACCTCCTTCTCGAGATACACACGCAATAACCTTGCCAAATCCTTGATATTGTCATTGTTTATACATTTTTATCATAAGAAAGTAATATATTTTATTCAGATATATTAGAAAATAATTAATAATAATATAATATTAACGCTCTGTTCACGCTCTCAATATCGAGTTCTTTTGAAATTAACGCTCTGACGCTCTCGCTCCCGCTCCCGCTCCCGCTCTCGCTCCACGTTCTGGTTACCTAAGGTGGGAGGTTGTGAAGAAAATTAGAAGAGGCAGGCGACTGGGAAGAAGCCGGAGGAGAGTAGGCGAGCGGTTACATGCAAAGCTAAGAGCATCATATATGAAGGACTCGGCAACAGATCTGGGCAAGCATCGATTGGGAAAGAGCAAGGCCGGAGGAAGAGACTCGATTGTCTGGCCTTTGATGGAGAAATTGAAGGACGACCGCTGAGGAGGAATGGCGGCAGGTTGAAGCTTATGATTCGACCGGATGTTTTGCTGTGAGAAGGGAAATGAGGAGAGAGAAAGGTCTCCGCAAGATTAATTATGTGGCAGTCGCACTATCTTTGGGCTTAATTACTTGAGCAGTGGGCTTGTAAATTCTCGGTCCATACATCCAATTTGTCCCAATCAGAAGCATCACGGGCTAAAAAAGTGACCTCCTTCTCGAGATACACACGCAATAACCTTGCCAAATCCTTGATATTGTCATTGTTTATACATTTTTATCATAAGAAAGTAATATATTTTATTCAGATATATTAGAAAATAATTAATAATAATATAATATTAACGCTCTGTTCACGCTCTCAATATCGAGTTCTTTTGAAATTAACGCTCTGACGCTCTCGCTCCCGCTCACGCTCCCGCTCTCGCTCCACGTTCTAGTTACCTAAATAGAGACGCCGTCGCGTCGCCGTAGGCTCGAATTTGCAGGTCCGAAACCGGCAAGGTAGTTGGTATCGCGCCCCCGTCTTCGTTAGCGTAGAAGAATCACCAGAGAGGTTGCCGCCGCTGCAAAAGCCTTCATTTAGCTTAGTCACAGAGGTGCAGAATTTGAGGAAGAATCGGCGAGTGTCAGCTTCCCTGTGAGCTCCGCGTAGGGCTAGGGGTTCCTCTTGCTGCCTGTTTGCTGTGAATGACCTGAGCAATTGAGTGTCAATGGCATCGGTGTATATTCCAGTGCAGAACTCCGAGGAGGAGGTGAGAGTTGTCCTGGATCAGCTGCCGCGGGACGCCTCTGATATTATCGACATTCTCAAGGCCGAGCAAGCTTCTCTCGATTTGTGGCTCATTATTGCGGTTTGTTTTCCTTATCTCTTCCTAATTAGCGCCTCAATTCCTTCTACTTGTTGTATACCAGAATTGTGTTCTAGGGTTGAGATGCATTATACGGTTCCTTCCTTTCAAGTTGTGGTTAGGCCAGTTAGACCTTTGTTTACTTTACTTCAAAATAGTAACTCGAGCCTGGAAAAAATCAGTCGACTGTTTTCTGCAGGTTTATTGTCCTGGTGTTGATAGTATTTGGATGATGTGCAGAGGGAATACTTTAAACAAGGGAAGGTTGAACAGTTCCGACAAATATTGG